TCTTTGGGAGGCAGAGAAAGGTGGATCATCTAACGTCAGGAGTTTGAGACCAGTCTGGCCAACATGAGGAAACCCCGTCTCTACTAAAAATACAAAAATTAGCCAGGCATGGTGGGGTGCACCTGTAATCCCAGCATGGTATCTTGGAAGATCACTGGAGTTGGCATCAGGGAGAACTGCAGTTTGGTCCTGGCTAACCCTAAGGACTTGGACAGGTAATCTTTCCTCACTGGGCTTCAGTTTCTTTATATCTAAGGAGGATATAAACCCCACCTGAGCCGGGGACGGTGGCTCAAGCCTGTAATCCCAGCGCTTTGGGAGGCCGAGGCGGGTGGATCATGACGTCTAGAGATCGAGACCATCCTGGTCAACATGGTGAAACCCCGTCTCTACTAAAAATACAAAAAATTAGCTGGACATGGTGGTGCGTGCCTGTAATCCCAGCTACTCAGGAGGCTGAGGCAGGAGAATTGCCTGAACCCAGGAGGCAGAGATTGTGGTGAGCTGAGATCGCACCATTGCACTCCAGCCTGGCTAACAAGAGCAAAACTCCATCTCAAAAAAAAAAAAAAAACCCACCTGATAGAACTATAAAAGGTGAAATAGTAAGAACTGGTGCTCGTTATTCTCTACTATGAGCTAACCACCATGTAAGGCCACCTCTTGGGTTCCTTGCCAGTTGCCTCGCCGGGAGGCCAGACATACCCACCTCTGCACTCAGCACCTGACTCTGCATCCGGCACCAGGCTCTGCACTCAGCACCTAGCTCTGCCGCATGGCTCCCCTGGAAGGCTGGCTCTTGCACTGGAAAACCCGCCCAACAACCCACCACCCAGTAGCAACCCGCCCCATCCCAATCCCTCTCCCCTGGAGCCAGTCAGAGCACCCAGCTCTTGCTTGTTCCTCATAGCCATAAAAACCCCACACCCGGCCTGGCGCAGTGGCTCAAACCTGTAATCCCAGCACTTTGGGAGGCCGAGGCGGGTGGATCACAAGGTCAAGAGATCGAGACCATCCTGGCCAACATGGTGAAACCTGTCTCTACTAAAAAAAAAAAAATACAAAAATTAGCAGGGCATGGTGACGCATGCCTGTATTCCCAGCTACTCGGGAGGCTGAGGCAGGAGAATTGCTTGAACCCAGGAGGTGGAGGTTGCGGTGAGCCGAGATCGCGCCATTGCACTCCAGCCTGGGTAACAAGAGCGAAACTCCGTCTCAAAAAAAAAAAAAAAAAAACCCACGCCCCAGGAAGTCAGCATGACTTCTCTGGTCCTCTTTCCCCCAGACCATAGAACCTCGCCCGGGAGCTGAATAAATCGGCATTTAATTTTGTTATACTGGCCTCAGTTTCCTCATTTTAAACTCAGCAATAACCCTTACACACCATATAGGACACTTAACCAGGTTTTTTTTGGAGACAGTCTAGCTAGAGTGCAGTGGTTCGATCTTGGCTCACTGCAACCTCTGCCTCCCAGGTTCAAGTGATTCTCCTGCCTCAGCCTCCTGAGTAGCTGGCACTACAGGCACACTTCACCATGCCCAGCTAATTTTTTTTTTTTTTTTGAGACAGAGTCTCACTCTATCACCCAGGCTGGAGTGCAGTGGCACAATCTCGGCTCACTGCAACCTCTGCCACCCAGGTTCAAACAATTCTCCTGCCTCAGCCTCCTGAGTAGCTGGGATTACAGGCGCCTACCACCGTGCCCAGCTAATTTTTGTATTTTTAGTAGAGACGGGGTTTCACCATGTTGGCCAGGGTGTCTTGAACTTCTGACCTTATGATGCACCCACCTCAGCCTCCCAAAGTGCTGGGATTACAGGTGTGAGCCACTGCGCCTGGCCAATTTTTTGCTTTTTAGTAGAGACAGGGTTTCACCATGTTGCCCAGGCTGGTCTTGAACTCCTGAACTCAGGCAATCCGCCCGCCTTGGCCTCCCAAAGTGCTAGGATTACAGGTGTGAGCCACCAGTATCTTCATTGACCTGTTCCATTGTTGAAGAATCCCTAGAAACAGGTTAAGTGCAGATTCCTGGGCCCCACCCCTAATGCTGGGATCCAGAAGGCCTGGAGTGTGGCCTGTTGGGCAGGAGGGGCTTTTATCTCCTATGGACTGGATCCACCTTTCTGAAAACAAAGATAAGCACCGTTGGCCCCTCAACAAATGGGCTGCTTCTTACAAATGCCTTTCCTACCATCCGTCCCTCAATTCTCATCACAACCCTTTCCACATGGTAAGGCCACTGAAACCCAGAGAGGGAGAGTTTTTTGCCCTGAGGTACAGACCCAGGAGGACCAGGTAGGGGGGTAATCCCTATGGCCACCATTATGTCCCTTTAAGAGGAAGGCTCGCCGGGCATGGTGGCTCATGCCTGTAATCCTAGCACTTTGGGAGGCCCAGGTGGGAGGATCACCTGAGGTCAGGAGTTCAAGACCAGCCTGGCCATCTTGGTGAAACCCCATCTAAAAAAAAAACCAAACAGTAAAAATAAATAAATAAATAAAGAGGAAGGCTCATCCCTGGCAACTGGTGCTCAGATAGGGACCAGGGGAGTCCCTGGGGAGAAGTGCAGTACTGGGGAAAGGTAAGACTGGCCAGAAGGGTGACTTAGAGGGACCCAGAGGAAGCCAGAACTGAACACAGTGGACTGAGAGCTGAACCTGGCAAGATACTGCTATGAAGGGAAAATCTTGGGTGCTTGTGGGCCAGACATGTGGCTGAAGTTTGGCAGTTAGTGACTTTCATGTTTGGTTTGGGTGTTTCACTTACTTTTCTCAATACATCTCTAAAGAGAGTACCCTTACGCTCAATTTCCAGAGGTAGGTTCTGACATCAGAGAGGTGCAGTGGCTTTCCTAGGGTCACACATCACAGGCAGGATTCCTCCTCAGTCCTGTTTTGCCAAAGCCCAGGCTTTTCCCTGGCTCCTGGTAGGAGGCCATGTGTCAACATGTCCAATAAACATCGGGGCTGTCAATACTATTTCTCTACCTGGTATGTGACTTGTTGTGTATGGGCGGTCCAGGCCCGAGGGGCAGCCTCTGTGTAGTGGGGTTTACAGTCAGGCTGACAGTTCCTGGAGCTCTCCTCACACAAGTGACCTTGGGCAGGTCCCTCCCACTCCCTGAGGTTGTTCATCTACAAATGGGTCAACATCCTCCTAAAGGTTGTGTAGTTAAGAAGCCTAGGGGCAGCAGGGGAGGTGTGCTGTGTGCTGAGGCTGGGGAAGACTGGATGTTGGATTTTTTTTTTTTTTTTTTGAGACAGAGTTTCACTCTTGTTGCCCAGGCTGGAGTGCAATGGTGCAATCTCAGTTCACCACAACCTTTGCTTTCTGGGTTCAAGTGATTCTCTTGCCTCAGCCTACTGAGTAGCTGGGATTACAGGCATGTGTCACCACCACACCTGGCTGATTTTGTGTTTTTTAGTAGACACGGGGTTTCTCCATGTTGGTCAGGCTGGTCTCAAACTCCTGATCTCAGGTGTTCCACCAGCCTCAGCCTCCCAAAGTGCTGGCACTACAGGTGTGAGCCACTGCGTCTGGCCTGGTTTTTTTTTTTTTAAACTTTCAAAATGCCTGCAGTGCTTATATTGTTTTCACAATAAACAAGTCTAATGAATCTAAACAAGCTGGGCACATGCTCAGATGGCTTTGAAGAAGAAGGTGGAAGCTGTTGCTCGGTTGGCTCAGGCCCTCTGGAGCTCTCAGCCAAAGTCAATGGGGACAGATATGGCCCAGGCCACAGCACTGTTCCACCTGGGGGTGGGGGACAAGGGTGGCAGCCTGACAGCTGGGGTCAGTGGTCTCTGCAGGTCAGAGCTCAGCCCAGGACTGTGAGAACTTGAGCAAGTTTCTCTCCTGACCTCGCAAGCCAGGGGTGGGGAGCGGAGTCACACTAGGAGGAACTTAGAGTGGATCCAATCCATAATTTCCATTCTCCAGATGAAGAAACTGAGGCCCAGAAAGGGGAAGGCCTTGGTCATTTTCTCAGAGTCTGAGGCTCACCCCATGCCAGGCCCTGCCCTGGGAGGTACTGGGCTGGTGGGAGTGCGCCAGAGGCACCCATGGGAGCAAGGAGTCAGCTGTGGTGGGGGACGGGTCAGAGGGCATGCTAGCGCTGAGCCTTTAGCACTGAACAAGGGGTGGGGAAAGGGAATTCAGGTGGTGAAAAGAGTGAATCAAGGCCTGGAGGTGTGAAACCACCAGAAGTGATTATGGACTGGGACTGGTATTTGCATCAGGGTGTGGGGTAGGTCCAGGGTGTTCAAGGACAAGATTGAGAAGGGCCTTGATAAATGACAAGGAGCTTGGCTGTGTAGGGGCTGAGATGTGTGGGGAGCTGGACGAGCTTACTGAGGTGGCCAGGGGTGCCCAAGATCAGCCTGGCATTAGGTGTTGAGCAGTGGGCTGGGCCTGGTGTGTGGGGCCACAGCGCCACCTGGTGTCCATCATTCTCACTGCAGTGTGACCTTGCCTGGCTCTCCATCCCGGGAGCCAGTGGGGCAACCTCGTCCAAGACTCTCTGCCTCCTTCCAGAGCAGCTAGGCTCTGTGGTCAAGGACTCACATCAGGGGTATGTCAGGCCCCTGCTAGGCTCCTTGACTGCCTTCTCAGCTACAGCCTGTTTGGGCATGAGGAACCACAGACCCAGCCTAGAGCCAAGTTGAAACTAGAAGTGAACACTTCTCAGTGAGGTCAGACACTCCTGATGGCTAGAGGAAGGCTTCGGAATTTGAAGTTACCAGACAAGGCCTTGAGCTGCACCAGCTGCAAGGTGACCTTGGGCAAGTGATATTCTCTCTGGGCCCTTTCCCCATCTTTATAAACCAATGGTGAAATTCAGACATCATTCCCTGTTATAATCACTTCTTATCCACAGGCTCACAACCATGCAAAGGAGACTCATCCAGACTCTGCAGAGTTAAGCTCTGAAGGACACCCAGAAGGCTGGGGTTGCTTCATATTGGACACATATCCAGACCTGATTCATGGATCACACAAATGCAGCAGGCAGAAATGAGTTTATTGCATTAGAAAAAACACCAAAAGAAAAACAGCAAATACCTCCATACTAGACAAAGTTATTAGTACTCAAGGGCATAAAGAAAACTCAGATACTGGATTTACTTCTGGGAGGGGGTGATGGTCTCATCCCTCCCCCTTCCCTATCCCTTTAAACCAAGGGACCTAGGGAGGTGTCCAGTGTGCAGTGTAAGTCCGTGACTCATTTCCCACTCTGCTTGCCTGTTCACATCCAGGTAGAGTTAGCCGGCCACAATAAGAATGCTCCTGAGATGCTGGGACAGACAGAAATGTGAGGATGGGTGGGCAGTCGAAGCCCAAGCCTGGGTTTCCAGTTAGTGACAGTGGGGCTCCCATCAGCGGAGGGAGAGCTTGCCTTCCCATGGAGCTCTGGGAAAACTGCTCACTGATCCCTTGATCTCTCCCCACAAACCCTAGGGCACAGGCAATGGCACAAATGGCTGCTAGTATAAAGCGGTGTGCTGTTCAAGGAAATGAGTGACTAAAATTCTCTCAGGGGAGCTTCCCGTGGGTCTCAGGGTGCCTGCTGGGAGAAACAAACCAGCTGAAACTGGATCTGGGAGAGGAGAAAGAAAAAAAAAAACGAGCTGTGGTGCCCAGAATCCCCTGGATGGAGGGGAGACCCCAGGCAGAGAGGTCTGGAGCAGGAGCCTGAAAGACAGAGCTGGGCCAGGCAAGTTGGAAAAGGGAACACTGATAGGAAACAAAGCCCTGGCCTAGACCAACTTGCTGCCCTCCCAGAAGAAACCCAGCCTCTGAAATTCTTTCTCCTTGGGCCCACATCTGCCAGTAGATCACCGTTATACAACAGTCCCTGCTAGTTTCTGCTCTAATTTGTGATTTCCATGGACACTGGCAAATCAGTGGGTCTTGAGAAGAATTAAACTGTTCATTCATTTGGCCTGTAAAGTTTTCAAATGTCACTTGACATCCCAGCTGGACATGCCCCTGGTCAGGTCTCAGGCAAACACTAAGGCAGAATGACATCTCCTTTAGCTGAGACTCTGATGATGGCAACTGCTATGGCTAGTGGCAAAGATAGCAGCAGATGGGGCCAAAAGTGAGCAGCAGCTTTTTGGAGAGGAAAGGCCCCTGCTGCAGGCCAGACTTCTGGGAAGAAGCAACATAATTCAAGTCCACAAAGTGGCAGGAAGTTGTGGCAGAAGGGACCCAAGGATGTCAGAGCTTAGACTTGGGCACCTGGCAGCTCTGAGTCCGTCTTCACACTCACTTTCCCAAAATCTAACTAAGGGAGGTCTACACGAAGAGAAGGAATCTGAAAGTCTCTCTGGATTAGAGACTCCCAGACTGTGTTCCCTACCTATTGACTCGTAGCAGCAAGTCATTAGGAAAATGCCCAGTCATGCCCCAACCTGCTTCCCTAAAATCAGAATGACAACGGAAATAAGGTGTGCCATCAAAACACATTTAGGATAAGGGAAAGTCCCTATCAGAAATGATTCTAAATTTTCTTGCCACCTTGATTCTACATCATTATTATTTTTTTTTTTTTTGAGATGGAGTCTTGCTCTGTCACCCAGGCTGGAGTGCATTGGTACAATCTCGACTCACCACAACCTCCACCTCCCAGGTTCAAGTGATTCTCCTGCCTCAGCCTCCTGAGTAGCTGGGATTACAGGCATGTGCCACTGTGCCCTGCTAATTTTTGAGAGTAGAGACAGGGTTTCACCATGTTGGCCAGGCTGGTCTTGAACTCCTGACCTCGAGTGATCTGCCTGTCTTGGCCTCCCAAAGTGCTAGGATTACAGGCTTTAGCCACTGTGTCTGGCCTCACATCATTATTCTTTCTACATCAAAGGTATTTTCCAGCCGGGCACAGTGCTCATGCCTATAATCGCAGCACTTTGGGAGGGTGAGGTGGGTGGATCACCTGAGGTCAGGAGTTAGAGACCAGCCTGGCCAACATGGTAAAACCCTTTCTTTACTAAAACTAAAAAAAATAGCTGGGCGTGGTAGCATGTGCCTATAGTCCCAGCTACTTGGAAGGTTACAGTGAGCCGAATTGTGCCACTGCACTCCAGCCTGGGTGACAGAGCAAGACTCAGTCTTAAAAAAAAAAGGTATTTTCCTAGAGCAGGGAATCCCATCCCTTGGTCCCCAGCTGAATTCTGCATACTGGTCTGGGTGGTAGTTGCAGAGGCTGCAAATAACCTACATCATTACTGCAGAAAAAAGGCCTGGGTCTCTGCTGCTCCAGCCCAGACCTCATCAACTATGACACATCAGCTATGCTGAGGAAGAGCAGCCTCGGGGGCCCTGAGGCAGGTTTCCCAAAACTGATGGCAGAGGATTGGCAATCCATCTAGGTGGAAGGAGGAATGGCTTTATCCTGTTTTCTGCAGCCTGATACTTGCTGTTACTTCCTTGATCCTGAGGCAATGGCTGCTCCAGCACTGGCTTTGCTTGAGGTAAGGGAGGGAAGGTGAAGAGGATTGTGGCTAGAGTTCATTTAGGTTGGGTTAGTCATTCTGAAACTGGTCCCATGTGCACCAAATCCTTTGGTTCATTTAACACTAGAGTGACTGTTTCCAGGTCATGGACGTTCTAAAACTCACCTGGGTCCCACAGGTGGTGGTGACTTGGGTAGAGCGTGAGTGTTCTCTTGGAAGAGTTCTAGGTTGGGGCTCCCCCAAACCGTGCCTCTTGCTTTCTGTTTAAACAAAGCCCCTCCCTTTCTTCAGTGTGGAGGACACTTAGGAAACAGCATCAGAAGTGAACTCACAGACAAGACAGCCTTAATAAATTAGTATAATACCATTAGAAGGGGTGGCATTTTGTTCTGTTTCTTAGCAGCATTATCTACATGCGGCCTGACAATCTCCTTCCCTGGGAAATTTAAAAAGCCGTCCCTTGGCTGTTAGCTCTGATGTAAAATTATAAAATAGAACTCTGGTAGGGTTGGTTTTGTTTAAAAAGGAAAAGCCCCGGTGAGGCAGGGCGGTCCCAGGAAGTCCTGTTAGCTCTGGCCGTTGGGTCTGCCCACGGAGCTCCCTCCTGGAGGCTGGATCTGAATGGAGTCCAGGAGGGGCCGAAGTGCCTGTCCAAAGGGCCTGCAAGGAAACCGAGACATGAGTGGGATGGGCTCTGGGATGTGGCCTGCTGTCACACACACACACCCTGCACTGCCCATGGGTAGGGAGGAGTGAGTGGTGGCGGCGGCAGCAGCAGCACCGCCACAGCAAGAAGGAGCACCTCGTCACCTCACTTAAGTTTCCCATCTGCCTCACACACCAGTGTTCTTGGAGGGCATCTCTGAAATAGCGTGCTCTGTGCTTTTTATTTTGAGACAGAGTCTCACTCTGTTGCCAGGCTGGAGTGCAGCGGCGTAATCTCAGCTCACTCCAACCTCTGCCTCCCAGGTTCAAGCAATTCTCCTGCTTCAGCCTCCTGAGTAGCTGAGACTACAAGTGTGTGCCACCATGCCCAATAAATTTTTATATTTTTAGTAGGACAGAGTTTCACCATGTTGGCTACGATGGTCTTGATCTTTTTTTTTTTTTTTCCCCAAGACAGAGTCTTGCTCTGTTGCCAGGCTAGACTGCAGTGGTGCAATCTCCGCTCACTGCCACCTCCTCCTCCTGGGTTCAAGTGATTCTTCCGCCTCAGCCTCCCGAGTAGCTGGGACCACAGGCACGTGCCACCATGCCTGGCTATCTTTTAATATTTTTAGTAGAGATGGGGTTTCACCATGTTGGCTAGGATGGTCTCGATCTCTTGACCTCGTGATCTACCCACCTTGGCCTCCCAAAGTGCTGGGATTACAGGCATGAGCCACCACGCCTCGCCTGGTCTTGATCTCTTGACCTCCTGATCTGCCCGCCTCAGCCTCCCAAAAGTGATGGGATTACAGGCGTGAGCCACCATGCCTGTGCTGTGTTATTTTTTTTTTTTTTGAGACAGTCTTGCTCTGCCGCCCAGGCTGGAGTGCAGTGGTGTAATCTTGGCTAACTGCAACCCCCACCCCTTGGGTTCAAGCAATTCTCCTGCCAAAGCCTCCCAAGTAGCTGGGACTACACGTACACGCTGCCACGCCTGCTAATTTTTTGGATTTTAGTAGAGACGGGGTTTCACCATATTGCCCAGGCTGATCTCAAACTTCTGACCTCAGGCAATTGCCCGCCTCAGCCTCCCAAAGGGTTGGGATTACAGGTGTGAGCCACTAAGCCCAGCTGAAAAATATCAAATTTAAGCAAGGAAACTGAGGCAAAATAAGAAGGATATAAAAAAGAAGACAGACCAGGCCAGGTGCAGTGGCTCAAGCCTATCATCTCAGCACTTTGGGATGTCGAGGTAGGTGGATCATGAGGTCAGAAGTTTGAGACCATCCTGGCTAACATGGTGAAACCCCATATCTACCAAAAATACAAAAAATTAGCTGGGCATGGTGGTGCACGCCTGTAGTCCCAGTTACTCAGGAGGCTGAGGCATGAGAATCGCTTGATCCTGGGAGGTGGAGGTTGCAGTGAGCAGAGATCAGCCCAGGCTGGGTGACAGAGCGAGACTCTGTCTCAAAAAAAAAGAAGACAAACTTAAGGGTGAGGACAGCACACAACTGAATTCTTCCAGAAACAGAGAGTTCTGCCAGGGAGTACAGGGAATATTCAGGAAAAATGACAAATGCCAGGTTCCAGTATTAATGCCTTTCTTTCTTTTTCTTTTTTTTTTTTTGAGACGGAGTTTCGCTCGTTACCCAGGCCGGAGTGCAATGGCGTGATCTTGGCTTACCGCAACCTCCGCCTCCTGGGTTCAGGCAATTCTCCTGCCTCAGCCTCCTGAGTAGCTGGGATTACAGGCACGCGCCACCATGCCCAGCTAATTTTTTGTATTTTTTTAGTAGAGATGGGGTTTCACCATGTTGGCCAGGATGGTCTCGATCTCTTGACCTTGTGATCCACCCGCCTCGGCCTCCCGAAATACGTATTAATGCCTTTCTTCCCCTCTCCTGGCGCCCCCAAGACGCCATCTTGCTCTGTCACCCAGAACTGGAGTGCAACGGCACAATTTTGGCCCACTGCAACCTATGCCTCCTGGATTTCAAGTAATTTTCCTGCCTCAGCCTCCGGAGTAGCTGGAATTTACAAGTGGGGGCCACCACGCCGGGCTAATTTTTGTATTTTTAGTAGAGACAGTGTTCTACCATGTTGGCCAGGCTGGTCTCAAATTCCTGACCTTGTGATCCACCCACCTCAGCCTCCCAAAGTGCAGGGGTTACAGGCGTGAGCCACCACACCCAGCCACTAATGTCTTTCTAAAGGTCTCCTAGTTTGTTCTCATAGTAATTTAGCTGGAAAAAACACTGTAAATACTGGAGTTTGGAGATTTTCCATGATCACAACTACCATAAATAAGGTTGCCCACAACACATTTCAATCACTGGCTTTTCAGTGGATACTGCCACTTCATCTTCAAGTTCAAAGGAAGGAAGTACTCCAAAGTATAAACAGATGAAACCTACAAATATCAACCCTAATTCAGACAATTCCAGGAACTCCACCCATCAAATAATACCAGTAAGAACATTCTGGCTACTCCAGTTTGCTCAGGGCCCCATAACTTACATTCCTCAGCAGGGCTGTGGGGCTGCATACCCATCGAGCGATAGGAAGGCAGGGCCACAGATGGCAGACTGGGGCTCCTCACCAGCCTGCCACAGCAGCCTCATTTCCTATGCAAGCTCTTCCTGGGAGGTTCCTCCTCAGGTATAAAAAATAGCCCACCTTGCTGGGCCTGCTAAACCTGCTAGGATCTGTTGAGTAAGGCCATAATTCAGAAGAAACTGAGTCAGAAGAAGCAAACAGACATGGTCCTGGAGTGAGCAGAGACTGCCTAAATGCAATCAATGGCAAAGGGAGGGAGGGAGGTGAGATGGCTTTGGGGGTGTTTTGTCTTTTTAGTGGATACCGCCTGGATGATGGCCTACAAGGCTCTTTGAAGGCTTGGGCCACATAACGACAGAAGGAACTGCTGAATGTTCTTGAAGAAAACATCTGTTGAAGGTTGACTGTGTTGTAAGGCACAAGAGCAAGTAGAACAGTCTGTGAGGGAGTCAGAGCTCCTGGTGCAGTGAGAAAGACAAATCAACAGCTATAAAATAAGCCCCTCTACTATTTTTCTGACCCCGTCTCTGTTCATCTAATAATGCATTTTAGTTGGGTGCTTCTGGAGAGTGGCATGCTTCAACCACAATGAGAAGGACAGATGCCAGACTTTTATGCAAGTACTAAAGCTAATGTCAAGTGGGTTTCTAAGTTCTGTGGTTGAACTTAGGCCAGGGCAGAGCTGGTCTAGCTCTGAAGGTGGAGGTAATACAGGTACGCAACAGTGGGTGTAGAGAACAGCAGCCTTCTGTGTTAGAATCTGCCATCAGGGCAGGCCCACCTGGTTGGGAGGGCAGATGGCCAGAGAAAGCGCACTGACCATTAATGGGAAGGTTGGCCAAGGCAGGGGTGGGGACAGAGGCCACACTTACGTGGAGAGAACTTCAGAGGGCAGGTCTGTGATGTAAGAAGGAATCTTCCGCCCAGTCAGGAACTGTGCCACTTCGTTGCTGAAGGTGTTACAGTTGTGTTCGAAGAGGTTGTAGGCCTCACCTCTGTATGTTGAAAGATTTGCAGAACAGATGTGAGAAGCCAGCAAGCGTCTGTGTGGAATAACTCAAGCTAGGCAGTGGAACAGTGAGCACAGCTCAATGTAAGGACTGTGATTTGCCCCCTCATACACCAGAAACACTGCTTATTTGCCATTCTGGCCATTAATAACTGATTTTTATGGAAAGGAGAAACAGAAAATACGTGGCTCCTACACAGTTCAGGAGAATCTCTACATTGAGGAAAGCAGAGCTCTGGTGTTAGTGTTTACCCCGTACTGAAACTGACGAAAGCCTCTTTCAGGAAAAGTCTGCTCAAGTTTGTATTTCATCCCAACCCTTCTGCAAACACTGCTTTTCCTTCTACAAACTTGTCCAATAAAGGTTGAGAACAGCACTTGCTGATTTTAATCAGAAGGAATGAAAAGCCCTTGTTTCCTTTAAAAATTTCAGCAGAAAGTATGCTGGAAGGAATATCTGTATCAGAACAACTTAGAGTTCTTTTTGTAGTATAACTGCCCTTTCTTCACGTTAATTAAGCAAAAAAACTGGGCCAGGCCTTGTGCTGAGTGATAAGGATGAGATGACATGGCAGATGCCTCCAGGTGTTGATTATCTAGTTGGGGAGACAGACACAACTAACCACCACCCCTGTCTCCACTCACCGGAACAGGGACTCCCCCAGGGAGGACAGGTACTCCAGAAAGATTTCTTCTGTGACTTCTGTACTCCCCACATCAACCACAGAGTCTGGGGGCCCAAGCAATGTCCCTCCCTAAAAAAGCCAACCCAAAGAAAGTCATTAAATTACCATCTTTACGTGGCTTCCCACAGTAGATCACAAACGCTCTGTTCTGACTTCTTTTTTTTTTTTTTTTTTTGAGACAGTTTCTCTCGTCACCCAGACTAGAGTACAATGGGGCAATCTCAGCTCATTGCAACCTCTGCCTCCCGTATTCAAGTGACTCTCCTGCCTCAGCCTCCTGAGTAGCTGGAATTACAGTGCCTGCCACCACTCCCAGCTAATATTTTGTAATTTTAGTAGAAACAGGGTTTTACCACGTTGGTCAAGCTGGTCTCGAACTCCTGACCTCAAGTGATCCACCCACCTGGGCCTCCCAAAGTGCTGGGATTACAGGCGTGAGCCATTGCACCCAGCCTGACTTCACTTTCATCTTTCAGGGCACCCTGGGCAGATGAAGTGTGCTATTCACTATTTGTATCAAGGATGCAATGGCTTAGAAGCAGAGGTGTCCAATCTTTCAGTTTTCCTGGGCCACACTGGAAGAATTATCTTGAACCACACATAAAATAACCTAACACTAACGGTAGTTGATGAGCTTGAAAAAAATCTCATGTTTTAAGAAACTTTACAAATTTGCGTCAGGCCACATTCAAAGCTGTCCTGGGCTGCACGTGGCCTGTGGGCTACAGGTTGGACAAGCTTGGCTCAGAACTTTCTGGTGACTTTCCATTGCCATGTGCTGGCAGCATGGTTAGGAAGTCAGGCTTCTTGTTTCTTGTGGAGCTCTGGGAAGCTGATTCTCTTGCAGCTCTGACTCCAGATGCTGTCCACTTATTCAGTTGAGAAAAACAGAGAAACCCAGAATCTGAAGTCTCCTTTTGTCCCCAGTATGTCTCATCATGAGGACAGAACAGGACAATAGAAATGGCTCACACTTCACAGGCCATCTCTCCATGCCTATTTGCATAAAGTATGCAGCCAGTTTTTCTTCTGACATACTTGATATCCTGTGTAACAATGGAAAAATGTGAAGGGTGGTGAGAAATCTGGCAGGCTGGCAGTTATTTCCATAATGCAATTCTTTTTTGATCTGTGAGCCTAATCCAATGATGGTGATAGGGCAAGGGAGCTGATGGCTCCTGAAAGGCCTACAGAAAACCCTAAGCTATGGAGTTAACAGACTGCCAGAGAAGACTGAAGTTGAGTGGGGAAACCAGCCACTGTGGAAGCAACAGGATTAGCAGGGAGAACAAATCTGGGAAGGGATAATACACCAGAGCAGAGCTCCCTGAAAAGATCATTTATTCACAGCTACTGAGCACCTCCTACATAGTTGACATTGACATTGTTCTGGGCACTGTGGAAAACATGGTGAGCAAGATACCTATGGCAGGCAGAGAACAATTATCTCAGAGTTGTAAGAGACTAAAAGGTCACTCTTTGACTCCTCTTATTCACTTATAGGCACTGGGGCTGTGGTGTGGACAAAATAGATGAGATTCTTGTCCTTAAGAAGCTAAGTTTAGCAGGGAAGGGGGATTAAAAAATCCCATAAATCAGTATATAATTATGAGCTGCAATAAGGGTGTGCTGGAAAAGTACAGAATGTCAACAGTACATATGACAGGTGACTTTCTTGGTCTGAGGGGTCTGGGAAGACTTGCCTGAGAAAGTGACACAACTCAAATCTAAAGGAGGGAGAGGCATAACCAGGTGAAGGATCAGGAAGGCGTACTGATGTCAGAGTTTAAATGTCTAAGGTGTGTTCAAAGAATGAGAAGAGAGAGAGAGTTGGGAGGGAACAACCCAAAAGAGGCTGGCCAGAGACAGTCAGAGACTAGATCAGGTAGGTCCTGGGAGGCCATGCTGAGCTTTCTGGCTTTTATTCCAAAAGCAATGGGAGAATTCTGGCTTATGCAGGGGATTGTTTGAGCCCAGGAGTTTGAGATCAGTCTGGGCAACATAGGGAGATCCTATTTCTACAAAAAATAGAAAAAATTCGTTGGGTATGGTGGTGCTAACAGTCCTAGCTACTTGGGAGGCTAAGGTGGGAGGATTGCTTGAACCTGGGAGGTCGAGGCTGCAGAAAGCCAAGGCTGTGCCACTGCACTTCTGGCCTGGGTGACAGAGAAGATCTGTCTCAAAAAAAAAAAAAAAAAAAATCCTTCCTATAGGATATTGCAAAAAATCCACAAAAACAAAACAAGCCAACAAACAAACAAAATAAACAGCTTCTTGGTCACTGCTTGAGCACCTCCTGTGACACTTGGATAGCTCTGATAGAAAGTTTTGGAAAAGGATATGGGCTTTAGAGTCAGAATCCTGGCTTCTAGGACTGCTGACACTTATTGGCTGTGTAAGTTTGGGCAACGCTTGATGCTTCTCAGAGCCCTCATCACTCAGCTTAACATCAGAACATCAGCTGCATTCCTATGACGAGCTGGGCACTGAGCTGGGGATGGGGATGGAGGTCTCAGCTCGCAAGGAGCGTACACAGTTCCCTGTGGAGACCCAGAAACAGCTCATTTCACCATAAGATGCTCTGTGTGAGACAGAAGGACCCACACATGCCATGGGAAAAGAGAGGAGGGCGATTGGCTGGGGTATCTGGGAAAGGTTTTCTTGAGCCAAGTCTTCAGGTGGCTTTGAGGAACAATGCCAGAGGTCCACAGCAGAAGCAAAGCTCCTGGTCTACAGGAGCCCCCAGGAACCTGAGACTGCAGGACAGAGTGCAGGGAAAGACACTCACCGGAGGGCAGCTGGAGATACCACCACTGCCGAAGAAGAACTCATCCTTGTGCACAACTATGGAGGTGTGCCTGTCATACAGAGAGACACGGTGAGCCAGAAAACTTAGAATTTGAGTAAAAGCAAACACTATAGTGCAATGAGAATAATTTCTGCCCAAGGATAGGACTGTGGTGACCAGCCTTATAAAACCAACCAACCAAAGGTATGAGTATGGTAAATGCCATAGATCATGGGTGTTCAATCTTGGCACTACTAACATTTGAGGCTGGATAGCTCTTTGTCATTTGGGGCTGTCCGGTGCACTCCAGGCTGTTGAGCAGCATCCCTGCCTCTATCCATAAGATGCCAGTAGCATCTTCCTCCCTGTGTGACAACCAAAAATGTCTCTGGACATGGTTAAATGTCCCAGGGTAAGAGAGCAAAATAAGTCCTGATGGAGAACCCACTGCTTTAGGGCTTAAAGATTTATAGTATGGAGAGCTAGGTTTCATGCTGGAAGGCACAGATTGAAACCTGAAATGCAGAGAGTGCTGCCTTGTTTCAGAAACTAGTCAAAGTAAGGAGACCAACCCAACTTACCAGATGCCTTCCAGTTGTTTCCCTGTGGAGAAAAGAAGAGATTTAGCCACTTGGGACTAGATTAAGTGGCCCCTCAGCCTTGGTAAATTCACTACATCACTCAAACCCAGGGCAACTCGTTATAAACTTCTTGAGGGACTTTCTAGAAATGCAACTCTCCTCCAGTAAGATTCTTAGCTTGTGATAGAGTGTGTTCTGTTAAGTAAGTTGGAAATAATGAAAGTCCTTTATCAGAATGCAAGATTAAAAACACTGGTATAGGGCTGGGTGCTGTGGCTCACGCCTGATCTCAGCTCACTATAATCTCTGCCAGGTTCTCCTAGCACTTTGGGAGGCCGAGACAGGTGAATCTCCTGAGGTCAGGAGTTCAAGACCAGCCTGGTCAACATGGTAAAACCCCATCTCTACTAAATGTACAAAAATTAGCCAGGATTGGTGGCAGGTGCCTGTAATCTCATCTACTTGGGAGGCGGAGGCAGGAGAATTGCTTGAACCCAGGAGCGGGAGGTTGTAGTGAGCCGAAATTACACCATTGCACTCCTGCCTGGTCAACAAGAGCAAAACTTCATCTCAAAAAACAAACAAAAAACACTGGTATAAAGGTACCCTGGTTTTATGGTGTACCTCTTTCCTCTTTGGTGTCAATTCAGCTATGCCTTTTTTTTTTTTTAAAGCTGGGATTAGAGGCATGCATCACCACGCCCAGCTAGTATTTGTATTTTAGTAGCGACAGGATTTCACCATGTTGGCCAGGGTGGTCTCGAACTCCTGACCTTGTTATCCATCCACCCACCTCGCCTGCCAAAGTGCTGGAATTACAGGCATGAGCCACTGTGCCTTGCCTTAGCTATGTCTTTCTAACTTCTCTGTCTCATGTACAGTAAGACTATAGTAATACAATCTAGGTTATTACTCATTTCTTCATTGAGGTGAAATCCTTTAGAAAGTGATAGAACAAAACTTTGTAAATGCTATCCATTTAGATAGTGAAGGCAGTGTTATTCTCCCTCTATGTGCCAGAAACAATGTTAGGTGTGGAAATGAAAATAGGAACAGATCACTTTCCTGCTTTTGAGGGGCTCAAAGTCAAATGGACTGAGACACTCAAATAATTAACAAAAACACAATGTTAATACACTGTACCATAGTGGTAAAAACAAGGTGTTAATTATAATAAACTACTTTTGTGAGCTTCCTCTACCAATGACAAGTGAGGGCAGGGATGGACATTTCTTTGGGAGAGAACGTGCACATGCATGGCTGTGAAGTCTAAAGCCTGCAGGGCACAGTGAAGAAGAGTGCAGTGATGGTGGCAAGGGGGAAGAGTGGCCAACAGGATGGCCAGCAAAGCAGGCAGACCAGGACTCAAAGAGGCTGTGAGCCTCGAGAGTGCCTTGATCAGATCCGTTTTTGGAAAAGATAACTGTAGTTGTGCGAGAGCAGATGAACTGGAGGGAAGAGAGCAGAGTGAACAGACCAGGGTAAGGAGGTCCTCTCCAGAGTCCACAAGAGACACTCTACAGCAGTGATCAGGAGGCAGAAGGGCAGTGAAAGATGTGGAGCACCAGCAAACATCACTCACTCACCCCTGGTTATCACTTCATTCACATGGCGACATGGTGGATTACTGACAGCTAACGGCTACCTTCACTGTTTGCCCTGTGACTTTTTAATTTTTTTCTGAGACAGAGTCTGTCACCCAGGCCAGAGTGCAGTGACATGATCTCAGCTCACTGCAATCTCTGCCAGGTTCAAGCAATTCTCATGCCTCAGCCTCTCAAGTAACTGGGATTACAGGCATGCACCACCATGGCCAGCTAATTTTTTTATTTTTAGTAGAGACAGGATTTTGCCATGTTCTCCAGTCTGGTCTCGAACTCCTGGCCTCAAGTGATCCACCTGCCTCGGCCTCCCAAAGTGCTAGGAGTACAGGTGCGAGCCACCTCACACTCAGCATAGCATCCTCAGAGATAGTTAAGAGGACCATATGGGTTAAGATCCTGGCTCTTCCACTTGCCAGTAGTGGATCTTGGGCAAGTTTATCCAGCCTGTTTTAAGTCTGTTTCTCCAATTCAGAATTGCTGTGATTGGTAATGATAACGTATAGAAAGCTTCACAGTATGTGGCTAGGTGCGCTGGCTCGCACCTGTAATTCCAGCATCATGGGTGGCCGAGGCGGGGAGATCACGAGGTCAGGAGATCAAGACCATCCTGGCCAACATGGCGAAAACTCCTCTACTGAAAACACAAAAATTAGCCCGGTGTGGTGGCGCGTGCCTATAATCCCCGCTACTCAAGAGGGTGAGGCAGGAGAATCGCTTGAACCTGGGAGTTGGAAGTTGCAGTGAGCCGAGATCATGCTACTGTACTCTAGCCTGGGCGACAAGAGTGAGACTTTGTTTAAAAAAGAAAGAAAGAGAGAAAGCTTTCACAGTATATGATATACAGATGTTTGATAAATGGAGGCTCTTATTAGGTATGATGACCTCCTCGGGGAAAAGGGCAAAGACTTCTAAAAGATAAAAATAAATTCTACTTCAGACAGGGCACAGTGGCTCACATCTATAATCCCAGCATTTTGGGAGGCCAAGACAGGGGGATCACTTGAGGCCAGGAGTTCAAGACCAGCCTGGCCAACATGGAAAAACCATGACTCTACTAAAAATTCAAAGAAAAATTCACTGGGTGTGGTGGCGCACACCTGTAGTCCCAGCTACTTGGGAGGCTGAGGCACAAGAATTGCTTGAACTTGGGAGGCAGAGGATGCAGTGAGCCGAGATTGCACCACTGCACTCTCACCTGGGCAACAGAGCGAGACCCTGTCTCAAATAAAATAAACAATAGGCTGGGTGTGGTGGCTCACACCTGTAATTTCAGCACTTTGGGAGGCTGAGGCGGGCAGATCACCTGAGGTAAGGAGTTTGAGACCAGCCTGGCCAACCACCCCATTTCTACTAAAAATACAAAATTAGCTGGGTGTGGTGGTGCATGCCTATAATCCCAGCTACTCAGGAGGCTGAGGCAGAAGAATCACCTGAACTCAGGAGGCAGGGGTTGCAGTGAGCCAAGATTGCACCACTGCACTCCAGCCTGGGCGAAAAGAGTGAAACTCTATCTCAAGAAAAAAGAAAAAAGCCTAAGTTCGGTAGCTCACACCTGTAATCCTAGCATTTTGGGAGGCTGAGGCGGGCGGATCATGAGGTCAGGAGTTCGAGACTAGCCTGGCCAACATGGTGAAACCCCATCTCAACTAGAAATACAAAACTTATCCGGGTGTGGTGGCAGGCACCCGTAATCCCAGTTACTTGGGACACTGAGGCAGGAGAATCACTTGAATCCTAGAGGCAGAGCTCACAGTGAGCCGAGATCATGCTACTGCACTCCAGCCTAGATGACAGAGTGAGATCCCGTCTCAAAAAAAAAAAAAAAAAATCTTCTTCAGTATTGGTGAGTAAAATCTAAGAACAGATTTCAACATCCAGCAAATGATTATGAAATGCTGTATCTATATTATGTTGTTTTTATTTACTTATTTTTGAGATGGAGTCTTGCTCTGTCGCCCAGGCCAGAGTGCAGTGGCGTGACCTTGGCTCACTGTGACCTCTGGTTCCCGGGTTCAAGCAATTCTCCTGCCTCAGGCTCCTGAGTAGCTGGGATTACAGGCATGTCCCAGTATGCCTGGCTAATTGTTTTGTATTTTTAGTAGCAACAAGATTTCACCATATTGGCCAGGCTGGTCTTGAATTTCTGACCTTGTGATCCGCCCACTCTGCCTCCCAAAGTACCAGTATTACAGGCGTAAGCCACCATGCCCGGCCAAATGCTGTATCTATTTTATATGTAAAATTTCATTCTTACCACTGCACCCCAGCCTAAGTGACAGAGTGAGACTCTGTCTCAAAAAAAAGATTCCATTCTTTGCTGTTAGTGTTGCCAGGCCAAACAGAATAACAAGAAAATGAAATGTAGTGGAGTACTTCTGTCTCTGTTCTAATTCCAGAGATCAGTCTGCTTTTCACCAAGAAATCTGTTACTCTGGTCCATAAGACCACAGGTGGGCTGGGCACTGTGGCTCACGTCTGTAACCCCTGCACTTTGGGAGGTTGAGGCAGGCGGATCACCTGAGGTCAAGAGTTTGAGACCAGCCTGGCCAACATGATGAAACCCCATTTCTACGAAAAATATAAAAACTAGTTGAGCATGGTGGCAGGAGCCTGTAATCCTAACCACCTGGGAGGCTGAGGCAGGAGAATCACTTGAACTCAGGAGGTGGAGGTTGTAGCGAGCCAAGATCATGCCATTACACTCCAGCCTGGGTGACAAGAACAAAACTCTGTCTCAAAAAAAAAAAAAAAAAAAAAAGACTTCAAGTGGATAGAGGGATCCTAGCAATCCTAGCCTGGGGTTTCTGGGGATAGCATCCTAGAGAATGTGAGGCAGGTTCTGACCTTACGTGAGCTGAAATTTCACAGAGGTTGATCAGAACCAGACTAGATGCTATAGAGGGAGGGTTAATCCATTTAGGATAAGCATCTTCAAAACCTGGGTTCTACTGAGCTATAAAATAAACTAAGTTAGATTCTGATCTTATCCAGCTGACTCTAGAAAACCATACTGTCTCCTGTTTCCTGTTTACTATATGTAAAATGGGGAGACAGAGTCTCACTCTATTGCCCAGGTTGGAGTACAGTGGCACAATCTTGGCTCACTGCAACCTCCACCTCCTGAGCTCAAGCAATTCTGGTGCCTCAGCCTCCCAAGTACAGGCTGGGATTACAGGCTTGTGCCACCATGTCCAGCTAATTTTTGTATTTTTAGTAGAGATGGGGTTTCACCATGTTGCCCAGGCTGGACTCAAACTCCTGACCTCCAAGGCAGGAGATCTGCCTGCCTTGGCCTCACACAGTGCTGGGATTACAGGTGTGAACCACTGCACCTGGCCTAACATTGCATTTTAAATAGAGCTTATGTGCCCTTCTGAACTGCCATTTATAAATTAGCTGTTTAAATGGGTGCACTTTG